GCTAAGACGACGACAGAACAAATAAATGTGCAACAAGTACCTGAATAACGAGTTGTTGATAAATAAACTGTCGTTGCTTGGTTAACCAATTTATACAGTATAAAATTTGTTTATGTTTATTAGTAAACAGGATGTGACTCGTTGTTTATTGTGTACACATTTTCCCCCTATCAACAATCATATCGCCTTGACTACGGTTCGTCTACAAGGAATTAAGTTTTGTAGTTTTTAAAGAAATTTTAGTGAATTAGTTACTCGTCCCGACCAATGACTTGCAAATGGTTCTTAAAAAGTGTTTTTTCTTTTAGTTTTTTAAACAGTTCTATTACGCAGGATATTTGTCAGCAAATTCTAATAAAAAGCAGTTAAGTAGTGTAAGTATGTAGACATTTATATTACTAGTGAACTCGCATGGTTTTAACCTTTTACCCGGGGCGCTCTTCAAAACCCTGAAAATTATTTCAAATGTTAGTCAGAGTTTGGCCGCCAGCCGACAGGACGGTCTTCATTCCTTTTGGGGTGTTTTCCTTCCGCATGGTTAGTGATAGTCGGGCGGGGAGAAGAAAACTTCCGGGGAGGAGAGGCTGGTATTAGAGGGCAGTCTGAGGACGGAGCTGACTTTGGATTACCCCAACTCCAAGGTGGAACAGAATATGCCGATAGATGCAATGCCAGAGGCAGCCTGGCCGCTAATATACGAACTCTGGATACCGGCCGCCCTCTAGTTTCAACTACACCTTTTTCAACAGTATTTCAGAAAAACTCAAATGTATTTCAGAAAACCTCAAATGTATTTCAGAAAAGGGCAAATGTATATCAGAAAAGGGCAAATGTATTTCAGAAAACACAAATGTATTTCAGAAAAGCATATCTGTATTCTAAAAATATTTTTCTGAAATACATTTGTGCTTTTCTGAAATACATTTGCCCTTTTCTGAAATACATTTGCGTTTTTCTGAAAATAATTTGAACTTTTCTGAAATACAATTGCGTTTTTCTGAATTTCATTTGGCTTTTTCTGAAATACATTTGTGTTTTTCGATGAAATCAATCGAAGAATTAGAGGTGGTAGCGAGTGCACTAAATAATGTCCTTCGTGAATCCATCCACGACAGCACAGCTCCCGGTTCCTCCTCGATGAAACGTAGGGCCCGCTGGTGAAACGGGGAACGGGATGCAAAGCGCAAACTGGTCAGGAAGCTTTTCAACAGGGCAAAGAATCACATCAGTGGGTCGAGTACAGGGCTACTCTAATTGAATACAATAAACCCATTCGACGCTCCAAGAGAGAAACGTAGATGTAACAAGTAAAAGCAGCGCTGTCTTCGGCTATGCCTTCATACCTTTCATGAACATCTAAAAACTTTACTATAACAGATTACTGCATTTAAAAAAATGTATATATTCACAGCACACATAGATAGAGGAGTTACATATATAAAAATTCTTATCTAAACAATCAGAGGTATGGAAGATATACCTTATATAGCACCAATCTAAGTGATTTTCACTGCTGTGTTATCGGTATGTAAACCGGTAACACAATTTAATGGGTTTAGCTTCCTACATAAAGGAGATATATCGCAAAAATTGGTATAGGAACAATCAGTGGTATACGAGATAAGGTTTATACAGCATAGACTTTGTATTATTATTTATACAACAGCTTACGAAATTTATCGGTTTTAGCTGTCCAAATAAATTAGTTTTGCATTGAAACCCCATATCTGAACAATCAGTTATATGGGGGCAATATATAAGTTACAGTGACCCGATCTTTGTTAATTTTACTGTAGACTATCTGTTGATAATGAGTGCAAATAGTGCGAAATATCATGTTTCTAGCTGCATATATTTAGAAATTATAACAAAGACTCTCATATCTGAACAATCAGTTGTATGGGAGCTTTATGTTATAGTGACCCGATCTTTGTTATTTTCACTGTAAATATTCTGTTAATAATGAGTGAAAACGGTGAGAATTTGCATGTTCCTAGCTGCATAAATGGAGAAGTTATGGCAAAAAATCTCATATCTGAACAATAAGTTGTATGGAGGCTATAGGTTATAGTGACCCGATCTTCGCCATTTTCTCTGAAAATATTCTTCTGATAATGAGTGACAACAGTTCAAAATTTCATGTTACTAGCTACTTAAATGAAGGAGTTATTACGAAAAATCTTATATCTGAACAATCAGTAGTACGGGAGCTATAGGTTATAGTGACCCGATCTTTGTAATCTGTTGATAATGGGTGGAAGTATTGCAAAATTTCATGTTCTTAGCTGCATAAATGGAGAAGTTATAACGAAAAATCTCATATCTGAACAATCAGTTGTATGGGAGCTATATGTTATAGTGGTCCGATTCTTCCGGTTCCGACAAATGATTAATACATTATAAAAATACACCCACCTACCAAATTTCATCCGGATATCTCGAAAACTGGGAGACTAGATTGCATACAAACAGACGGACAGACAGACAGACAGACAGACAGACGGACATGGCTAAATCGACTCAGCTCGACGTTCTGATCATTTAAGTATACATTTTAATGGATCTATCTCTTCTTGTTCTGGTACTTACAAACATCGGACCAAAGTTATAATACCATTTCATGCTCATGAAAGGTATAAAAATCCGAGTCAATAGAGATACTGCCCGAGGCCTCCCGTCTACATAAAATTACATCGAAGTATTCTTCTAAGGGGAAAGCACGGCAGCACCTTCACGAACAACAACGGTGAAACTCTAGAATACCTTCTTCAAGTACATTTCCCAGGCTCTTCGGTATGGAAAACCGGACGACTCCTATCTCTTGTGAACATAGATTCCCCAAGGTTAGAAGTCTAAATAAATATATTAGTTACGACTTGATCCATTTCAGTAGCGATGTTGTTTCGTCTTTTTGCATTTCAGGTGACGATATACATTTGTATTAGGGCGGGTCAAATTTTTTGCATCAAAGGCACATCGCGATTATGGTTATTTGTGTTATTTCAAGCATTTTTGCCCAAGATACCATAGGTCTAAAATGAATTTCGAGCCAGCGATTTTTTCTACTAGTTTTTTTTTCCAAAAAGTGGCTCACCTGTTGAAACAGCTGTATAGAAAACTAGCCAAAATGTGTATCTGGGGGTTTTTGGGGTCGAGGAATCCATTGCTGACATTAATTTTTTCTTTTGAGGGCCGCCAGAGGCCGCTTCCGTACTTTTTTTTGGATTTTAATGCGTTTTTTCCGAAAATCGACAACATTTTTGCGAAAATCCACGAAATTTTACTTTCTCATAATGCAATTTCAATTTTTAAACCGCTTAAAATATTCAGCGTTGAAAATTAGAGGGAAGGGAGGTATATTCATGCACGACTTATATCGATTTTATTCAACTTAGGACAAAAAATTCGTTGTTTTTTTCATTTGTTCTCTGAATTTTACAAAACAAATTTTTTTCTTATTTTAATATAATTTTCTTTATTCAAAAATTCAACTTAAAAGATAAAAACATATTAAATGTAAATGAAAAAAAACAAACAATTTCTAATGTTTCAGTTTTTAAATACGTATAACGTATTTTTTTTTTTAATATTATGTTGGTAATACTGTTTATCGACATATTGTATGACAAATGACATGTGTGACAGCATGCGTTTTCATTTTCATACTGTGCGTTTTCATTTTCATACAGTGTTTAATATGTAAAATTAAAAAAAATTAACAAAATTTTCAACTCTGAACATTTTTGGCTATTTAAAAATATAAATTGCATAATGCGCCCTCTGGCGGCCCTCGAAAGAAAAAATTAAGGCCAGAAATGGATTCCTCGACCCCAAAAACCCCCAGATACACATTTGGATAGTTTTCAATACAGCTGTTTCAACAGGTGAGCCACTTTTTGAAAAAAAAAACTAAATAGAAAAAATCGCTGGCTCGAAATTTATTTTAGACCTATGGTTTCTTGGGAAAAAATGCATGAAAGAATACGGGAACTTGGTATTGCGGTATATGAAATCAATCGCATACTCTTGGAGGAGCGCTCCCATACAAACCGAACATTTCATACTGCATATCTCAGAAGTGTTGATGGTAAAGTACTGGAACTTGGTATTGAGG